GCTCCAGCATTTAGGGCTTGGGGGTTGACGCAGTTGGGGATTTGAGGTTTAAGGATCCGGGCTTTGGATCAAGGTTGGAGTGTCGGCTGAGAAGATTAGGGTGGGGTTCGGGTTTTACAAAACCTTCGAAGTCGTGCAGCCGCAAGCAAGTTTTCGAGCCCAGATCTTAGCGGCCAAAGCCTCCGTGCTCTCCAGCAAGAACTACTTGCAATCAATGCAAAAAATTCTGTTGGGATGAGGCAAGATATCATCAAACACTTGTGAAACTATGGTCGCAGCGTGCCACAAAATCGAGCCTCCACTGTGCTGATAGCCTGCTGGTACACCTCCCTGGGGTCTTCAGTGAAAGGCCTACCCTTCAACATTGCAGCACGATCCTGCAAGTCTTGAGAATTCAAGGTATCCTTGAGGTATTGCAGCCTGGCGAGCTCAATGGCTTCGTCAAGAGTTGTGTAGCTTCCGGGCATTGCCTCGATATTCTTCCGAATCGCCTTCTCATCATCATTTTGTGGTTGCGATGGGTGACCGCAACGGGCTGACTTCGTGTCAATGGCCTTTTCGCAAGTATCTTTGATGGGGTCGTTAGTCAATTCTCCAGCACGGATACCAGGCATCCCTGCCGGCGAGATGGCAAAGGCAAACATCTGCACCGGAACTCCTGCCAACGTGGGCATTTTGCAAAGAGAGATCCTCCGAATAGCTTCCGAACACACAACAAGAAATGCCCAACTGTATTTCTGACAAACCACCACGAGATCACCATGGCTTCCGAAACCGCCCCCTGCAGAAAGAGACTGTTGATTCAACATTGAGAGAAGACAACATGGCCCTTTTTGGTCAACTGGCCTACTTGCAGGGCGGTGTACATCTCGAAAACGCACCACATCCTGTCAGGGAAGCAAATCGTATGTATGTGTGTATGGCATGGGAGGAAAACCGTGCTTAGGATCGGAGAAGTTGAATGCACGTATAGTTTAGGGGTTGTTTTCGAGGTCACAAGGTCACACGCGTCGGGATTCGGGCGCCTTATCCCTCTGACCTCGCATAGATGTCGCAGGACGTTGTCACGATGCAAAGCATGGCGTCCGCTGACTTCAACACAGCAGAGAAAGGCCCTCGCGATGGATCAGGACCAAGTTGCTTTGCAATGGTCAGTTCTGGGATGTCTTCTGGCTGGTAGATGGCAAATGCGCAAATCCAGAATGGTCCAGGCCTTCCTGCCTTCTGCAAGGCCAGCGCGAAGTCTCGGTAGTATTCGTCCCAGGCATGAGACACCATTACCTTGGCCTTCAACGGTTCGCTCTTGTTCAGGTACAGAGCATATCCAGTGCCAGTGCTGGCTGTCGCGGGGACAACAATCTTGTCCACAATGTTTCCTTAGATGTCTCTGCAGCAATTTGTCCAAACAGGAATGCTGATCAATTCGTTAACACAGACATGCTCCTGAGACGTCTTTTGCCTTCGGCGACTGCTATTGCTGCAGCTGCTGACTGGAATATCATTTTTGCTGTAATCGTTGCTACTTGTTTGTCGAGTTCGAGAGCTTCTGTGTAGGACTGCGTTAACTCTCTCGCTTCCAGTCTTTGCAGGAATTTCTTTACTAGTCACACGGCAAGTGCAAACCACTTATCTGATCACGGTCATTCCGCTACTTCTGTTCTGCTTTTGATACAAAACGATTTCGATGTTTGCTAATTATGAACTGTTACTGTTGTTCTTTATCTTTGCACTATGATCGTCCCTCCGGCAAGGCAGTTGTCCAAAAGAGTCAGCCATGCAACTGCAAGCCATGCAACTGCATGATTACAGTTCGTGAAAATTGCGGTTGTTGTTGTCTGTGAATATATCTTCTTGCTTGCTGCATTTATGGTTGGCTGCTATTGACAAATTCTATTGGTTTGCTTGAGTCGTAGCCCAATTGACCATGCAGTCTGACACCAAGCTTCGCATTGTGGAGCTGCCTGTGTCGGTGATGTTCATGACAGTCTTGGTGATGCATCGCTTGTCTCTCATTACCTCTTCAACCTGCTCGGTGGAAATGCCCCAATCAAGGGGCCCGAAGCCATTTTGCAAGGCTCCACCATAGCTGTCTTCTTCTGAAGATGTCTGGTCGTCTTCATCAACCTTCGAGTTTCCGCAGCCCATGGCGCTGGGCTAATTATCCCGTACTTGTGGGAAAATGCGAACCTTCCCTGAACCTGAAGTTGTCACTAAGGAAGCTTAAGATTTAGGATTCAAGGGGGGAATTGTGAGGTCGACGCCACACATAAAAAAAAATATAAACACTACAAGGTGTAATAATACTTTGTTTTGTGTTGCTCCGACTAACATGCATGTCAGGTGGTTGGCATTGTAGCAAGTTATTTCGCCATGTTGGCATTGGGGTGGTCAGGGCCGCTCGCTGTTCGAGTGCCACTGCTGCGACAGTGGCATAGGCGTGCGTCCGTAAACTACACCAAATGTTGTTACCTGTGCCCATGGAGAGAGCACAGCTCCAGCCAGAGCTAAATACGATCTGTGGCGCACAGGAACTCAGAAGACCCCTGCCCGATGACCGCAAAGCGGGCAGAGACGAAGCGATGCAAGAATTGAGATCATGCAGGCAAACTGGAAGCACATCACATCATGCTTCGGGCAGTAGTTGCAACAGAATGTCGTGATGTATGAAACTCTTCATGAAGTCATGCTTGGTCGCGGGGTCCCATGTAGTTTCACCCAACTCGCAAGCATTTCGAACCCTGAAGTTGTGCAAATCTCTGCTGACATGTTCCTAAACCCTAAACCCTAAACCCTAAACCCCTAAACCCTAAACCCTGTTCGCTTTTTTTCTGGAGCAGTTCTCTGCATCCCTTCAGGACGGTCGAGCTTCTGCCACCATGGCTCGGCCGCATCCGCGACATCCTGGGTTTCAGGGTTTAAGGTTTAGGGTTCAGGGTTTAAGGTAAAGCGTTTAGGGTCTTTTCGGGCTTAGGGTTTAAGGTAAAGGGTTTAGGGTTTCAGGGTTCAAGGTTTAGGGTTCAGGATTTAAGGTAAAGGGTTTAGGAACTTTTTCATTGTTTGGTTTAGGGTCTTTTCAGGTTTAAGGTTTAAGGCTTAGGGTTTACGGTGTAGGGTTTAGGGTACAAGGGTTCAGGGTTTAAGGTATAAGGGCTTAGAGCCTTTTAGGGTTTAGGGTTTATGAAGGTTTAGGGTTTAGGGGTTTCGGTGTAGGGTTTAAGGTATAAGGGTTTAGGGATTTTAGGGTTTAAGGTTTAAGGTTTAGGGTGTTTTTGGGTTTGGGGTCTTTAGGGTTTAGGGTTTAAGGTTTAGGTTTAAGGTGCAAGGGTTTAGGGTTCCGATGCGTCTTTCTGAAGCAAAAGGAGGGGATTCAATTCTATTGTTCTATTCTACTTTTCAATGGCTATATTCGAATATCCGAACATTTTTTTGTCGTAGTCTGAAATCTTACATCTTTATATGGTCAGTTATATTGTCATTATGTTTCTAGTGCATTATTCGTGTATTCGTATAGAAACAGCCACGCGAGCAACCGTCGTGCAAATTTGTTGGAGTGCTTGTATGTCCAAGTGGCGCATGGTGCCTTCCAAGGGTACCAGGCCTTCGCAAAGCGCGCAGGACGCAGACGTCCTTGGCCCAACTGTGCTTTCAACCCCGAAACCCTACGAACCCTAAACCCTAAACCCTAAACACCCTAAATCCCTGTGAATCCTCATGTTACTGCAAGGGAAGGAGTCTGGTGGGATTGAGGTTTTGGTCACCAAACATGCAAGGAAGCCGCTCTTTGGGCTGCGCCTCCTTTGCCGTTTGCTGGGCTTTCGCTTCATCAGCCTGCTTTTTCGAGTGCCAGAGGGTTCAGGGCTAAGGGTTTAGGAGGGCAACACTTTTTCTTGGGGGGAAAGGACTTGCAGAAAGAAGGCTCGCACGTCTGCCTCTCAAATGCGAGACTTGCCTTTTGGACCTTCGCGGCCGTCTTCTTCTTCTTCATTTTCAGCTTCTTCATCGGCGGCTTCTTTGCTGGCTCAGCAGCTCCGACAGAGGAAGCGGCTTTTGAGCTTGCTCTCTTCTTGAGCAGCTTCTTCGCTTTGGCCTTGCGTGTGAAGGTTTGGGGCTCAGGCTTTAGGATGGGTCTCGTGAACGTCCGAACTGTGTGCAAGACTGTCACAAGGAGCGCAGAATCTAAGACTTGCCGGGATGCGACAGCTTTGCCCATGGCTGGCCACCGTGCGCCGAACCGCGCGTTCAGCTTGCTGTTTGTATCAAGACTCGCTGAGGAGGCGGCAGTTCAAACCCCAAACCCTAAACCCTTAAACCCAAAGCCCTTGGTGGAAATCGGCTCTCAGAAGCTTGCAAAAGGACCCTCAACGCATCTCAGGGGCTACTTGCTTCTGGCTTGGCTTGGACCGGCAGGGGAGGTTTTGACGTGCTTTTCAACAGGGGTTTACGATATTGAGGGACCCTGATAGATGCCCCCCAAATATCTGGATCCCCTTGTTTAGGGTTTAGGGTTTAGGGCTGTGCCGCAAACATGTGCATTTTTACGGGCCTTTTTCACTTCTGCCTGTGAGTCAACGACTGGATGGCGAGAAGATTGGGGTAAAGTCTGGCTGGAGAGGACCACTCAGCTATCTTTGCTTGGTTGCTTGGAAGAGCCCCTTCAATTTTGAATACCATGACGCGTCTGACGAATGTGCGGAAGTCTGTGGAAGGTGTTTATGTGATCTTGGACCACGTCACTGCACGGTACTTCCCAGAGATGTAGAGCTTCACCTGCGATGCCATTTTGCAAACTGTTAGTGCAAACATGCTCCAGGTACCCGTTTTGGGGGTTTACTATGATCAGGACAGCAAACCGACTGTTCCTGTTGGATATACCAAGGGACCCTATTTTGGGAAGTTCCGGCAATCCACCTTACCCTGTGCCGTGCAAATCGACCCCCTTTTTTGTTTTTTTGGCGAGATCTGTATAGGGTTTAAGGAATGTGCCTTCATCGAAGGTAGGAGGGGTTCTGGGTCGAGTATTCAAAATATGAGGGTGCTACAAGATGGGGGACTGCATACTCCTTAAACTTTCCCTAAGCGCCTCGTACTGGTCACCTGGCTGACCCTGGTCTCTGGCATGGGCCAACGCGTCCTCCCAAGCAAGGTAGGCAAGGCAGAGGCAGTGTCCCCGCTATGGATGGGTATGTGGTGGGCATGTTGTGGGCCCCTTCTATTCAGAGTGTACCGGCAACACTTTGGAGAACTGTCCCGGTCGTTGCTTCTCTAAAACCCTAAACCCTTTCATGGGCACTCGTTGTGGCGTGGGTGCTGCGTGTTCACTCCAAAGCGCGTCGGTTCTCTCGCCTCTCCTTACTTGAGCTTCAGGGGTTCGGGGAGAGGGATCCAAAGCTTACACCTCAAGCAATGAAGCCATGCGCACATCCTACAAGCTGAGAACGAAGCAACCCCGCTGGTTTCAACCTAGACCTCGAGAACGGTCCACGGTACTGGGGTAAAACCTTAAACCTCAGAAGCCTCCGAGAACCGGGACAAAACCCTCCTCCCCACCCAATCCTGAAAACAGCCTAAATCCAGGCAGAGTGTTTCAAAGTCTTCTTAACCCCCCAACAAGGTTTATCCGTTTTGGGCCCTACTGAGCACTCCCCCCGAACAGGGTAAAGATTGCACCCTAGAATGCTGCACTCTAAACCCTAAACCCTGAACTCTAACCCTAAACTCTAAACTCTAATCTCCCTAAACCCTAAACCCTACTCCGGGGCGAAGGTTGGGCCTGGGAGCTCCGCAGCTTCTGCTTGACGCTGCTCGAGGGCAGAATGGAGCTGATCTGAGGCCCGGCAAGTTTGCGGGGATTTGGGGTTTAGGCCTTTTGGGTTAAGGGTTTAGGGACTTGAGGTTTAGGGTTTAGGGATTTGGGGTTTAGGGCTCTGGGTTGAAAGCTTCGGGTTTAGGGGTTAAGAGCTTCAGGTTTGGGGGTTTAGGCTTTAGGGTTGAGGGTTTTGGGAAGTCTTGGATGTGAAGGGTTCACAGCCCAAGACGGCTGAAGCAACGCAGAGCAGCATTGCGCTGCCCTGCGAACCTGAAAACCTTCTGCTCTTCTCTCCATACGATTTTCAAAAGACTAGCCCTGGAACCCGAGACAGAGCCGCAGGCTGCATCCTCCACGGCCGGGAGAGTCACCTGGCTCTTCAAGCAGCATGTTCTCTTAAAGTTATACCGTTGTGATGACGATGACGACGAGAGTTGCCGACAACCTCGAACGCCACAGGGCGCTTTGTACAAAACAGCTACAGAAAACGCTGACACCATGAGCCCGAACCCCAAGCCCTAAACCCTAAACCCTAAACCCCGACTGAATCTCTGAAAGCCTTTTTCTTAAAGCCCTCACTCTTTTAGCCCCCTTTTGGGCCTCGCGGCCGTCGATGACCCAGTTCAGGTTCTGGCCCTCAAGCAGTTAAGGTTTAGAGGGTTCTTTGGGCTCTTTGGGTTCTGTCTGTTCCCTCGGGAGTGTTTTAAGTGGAGAACATTGGGGGCTTTGAGGGCTATGGTTTCGAGGGTTTCAAGAGGTTGAGAGGGTGTTCAGTCAGAAGACCCGAGAGAGTGGCGGGGACCCAGGAGTATGTGTGTTGGCCAAGCCCTAGCTCCCACCGCAAGCTTGCAGAAAGATTTTTGGGGGCTGCTTCTGACACGTGGGACGCGGCTATGTGGTCACTCCAGCATGGCGGCTGTAGTCAGGGCAGAACAACACGAAGTCTGAAGCGTTTAGCATCGCCACAAAAGCACCTCCTCAAAACTTTAAACCCTACATAAACCCTAAGCCGCCTAAGCCCTAAACCTTAAACAATAAACCTTAAGCCCGCGGCATGAAGGTAGTAGCCCATGGTCGGGCCCTGCAATCTGCTGCCCGGCAGGGCATTCGGCCTGCGAAGCACAAAGTGGACGCGGGATGCGCGTTTCACCACTATGCCCTCCTGTGTGCCCCTAAACGTGGAAATGCAAAAGATACGATTGTTTGACGAATGTTTGAATTAGATCGCGAACCCGTCCACAAAGCGACGACAGTTTCGTAGTTCGTGAGCCCAGACCTCGAAAAGACAAAAAGAGACAACATTTTTCGTATTTCGCGAGCCCACACGTCCAAAAGCGATGACAGTTTCCAGGACGGCGAGTGTGGCCATCGTCCAAAACGCGAGCAAGCCTCGAGAAAATTGCGTTGTCTGGGGCTGCAGGTGCCGGCCGCGCGCTTAACGCAGTCATGTCGACCCCCTCTGCGTGTCCGATCGCCCAGAATTCGCCAAAAAACACTTGCCTCTCCGGATGCAAGACCTTGTCCTTCTCACCATCCAGCAAGATCTGGAAGGCCTTCCAGGCAGCTCGACCCTTGTTGCACGTCATACCCTGAGCCCCAAAAGTCTCAACCCTAAACATCCGTGGAAGGCTTCATGTGCACTGCCCCCTGGAGCCCATAAGCCCACCTCCACGCAGTCTTCGCCAAGAGTGACCTTCGGAGATGGAAAGCTTTGTGACAGTGACAGGGTCAAGCCGCTGGGGTCCCCAAACTTCAACACCCAAACGAGCCGCACAAAAAAACTGCTTGGGGCATGGTCCTTACACCCTGAACTTGAATCCTGAACCGGCAGCTGAAGATGGGGCAAAGAGTGGTCTCGACCCCTCGGCGCTTTGTGGATGCTGGGGCTTCGGGCGGTGGTGGTGAAGGAGCCGTCCTTCTGCCGCACCTTTGTGTGGATTGGGCGGGGGAGGAATTCCAGGATGGTGAGCTTCGCGCTCAGGGCTTGGGAGCCTCGGCCTTTCAGGCCTTTTGCTTTTCAGAATAACACCCAAGATCCCTAAACCCTAAACCCTAAACCCTAAACCCTGATGGTCAGAAAGGGATGCGCTGCAGGCGCGTGGCCATCTCTTCGGGTGTTCGCCAATTGGTCCAGGTGCCAATGATGAAGTAGCCCTGGCCATGGGCAACATGAGGCCGTCCAATGGAGCATGCAGACTGGACATGGGGGTTTCCGAAATTAGGGGTACCTTATGGGGGGTCTCTTAGTATTAGGGAATGCTACTATTTGGGGGACCATTTTTGGGTAAACCTTCGCAGCGACTGGAAAGTCAGCCCACCGAGTGGTCAGGCGTGGCAGAAGAGAGCTGACACCACACCAACCCTGTGTCATAAGCTTTTCGTCACAAAAGGGGCTTCTTTTCGGGGCCCCTCACGTGGCTCTCCTCATTCCCTAGCCCTAAACCCTAAACCTAAACCCCGAAACCCTCAACCCCCAAACCCTTCCTCTTTTCCTTCCCCCCTCTTCAGAGAGGCTCCACGCTCTCCTCTTTCCTTTTGACTTACTGGCCCCAAAACCCAAGGAAATAACAGCTTAAGCTTTCCCTAAACCCTAAACCCTTATTAAGAAGCCCAAAAGTTGAAAAAAGTTGGGTTTTGAGCCCGTATGTTGAAGGAGGGAAGCTGCGCCTCCGAGGCCTTGAGGTCGCTCTCCAGCATGCCGCCGCCTGCGGCTTGAAGGGCTTTGTGTCTTGTTGGGGGGGGGGTTTAGGGTTTAGGGTTTAGGGGTTAGGGGTTAGGGAAGTTTTTAGGGGAGGGGTTGAAGGCTCAGGGTTTCGGGAGGTTTCGGGAGGTTTCGGGAATTTTGCGAGGTTTGGGGCCTGTAGGGTTCAGGGGCTGGGGGCTTCCAGGGCCTTCAGAGGGTGCGATCGAGGTGCGTTGGGCATCCACTCAGGGGTCTGAGAGGAAAGTGTCTGCAGCAGGAGGAAAGTCTGAGGAATTCGGAAAGGGATGCCTACCTGATCCGCCTCTCCTGTTCTCTGCTCTTCTACGCCTAAACCCTAAACCCTAAACCCGAAAGGCCCCAAACCTTATGGTCCAGGGTTGATTGGTCATACCTGGCCTGCCGGCCAGTAGGAGAAGGAAGCCCTCTCCATCTTCGGCTTCACGACTGGGACCTTTGGCACAAAGATTTTGTCGTGGAGAACCCTTCGGAAGGAAGAAAGGACACTGGTTTAGGGTTTAGGGTTTAGGGTTGAGAGTTTAGGGTTTAGGGCCATTTGAACTGCCCCCGCAACCCCTGCACATTGAAACTCAGCTCCCAGAACCCTGATTCTGGCGGAAGTTGGAATTGGGCCCTTTCTTTCTCAGGGCTCAACACCCTAAACCCTAAACCCTAAACCCTAGACCGCTCCTTTTTGAGGTCTCTCTTTGTTTTTTCTTCTTTCCGTTTGGACCTCTCAGGGCTTTTCGGCGGCCTCCTCACCCGAAGAATTTTGGCACAAACCCTAAACCCTACACCCTAAACCTCGGGATCTCACGCGGGAGCCATCTGCGGAGAACCAGCAGAGCATGTTGATCTGGCGCAGCGTTTTCGGGGGGTCACCGCACTTTTCGAGGAGGGTGGAGGATTGTCTGGGGGGTCCTTCTTTGAGCTAGTAGCGGTGTGCTTTGGCTTTCTTTGGGTTGTTGATAACTATTCTTGGGTCGAGGTTATGTGGCGGGATGGTAGTGAGAACTCCTTCCTATATCAAGCTCCTGATCAGCCAGCCCTTCATGCCCCAAACTGCCGGCCAGTGACATCAAGCAGTGGACAGGGTTCCTGATTCGTGAATGCTTTATGGTATCTACGGCTTGGGGTTCCGAAGCCCGAAACCTTGCACCCTTAATAGTTGCCAGGGTCGCGTTGGTGCCACCAAGTCCGCGAGTGCCGAAGCCGTTGAAGACGCGGCTATCCCTGTAAGCCATGGCCTGTGGGAGCAAGGGCGCTAAAGTGAGCTTAGGGTGGGCCTAGGGCTTCCAAAAACATGTGAAGTAGGGTTAGATTCCCTGTACCGCCAATAGGACACCGATTATGTACACTCACCAGTATTAAAAAGGAACCCTAAATACACTCACCAATAACAGGGATACAAGCCTGGTTCATGTGATGACAAATTGTGAGGATCTCGATTCAGAGGCCCTTTGTGGCGTGAAGGCCCTGGCTTAGGCTTCAGGGGCTTCAGGGGCTTAGGGGCTTAAGGGCTTAGGGGCTTAAGGGCTTAGGGGCTTAAGGGTTTAGGGGCTTAACATCTGGAGGGGGTAGCCGAGACTTTCAGTTTTGGGGCTTTCCTCGTTGCTTTTTTTTGGGCTCATGGTGCGAAAGCCTAAACCTCAAGCCCCCAAACCCGACATCCAAGGAACCTCGCGCGAGAAGGTCGCGCTGAGATTTTCTAGAGGACTCAAGGAGGGGCTGTGGCGCCAAGAATCAAGGTCAACCACCACTAATTGCAGTCTGTGTGGGGTTGCAACGTGTAGGGAGCTTCAAGTTTAGGGTATAGGGGTTACAGTTTAGGGTTTGTAGAGTTTAGGGGTTTAGGGCTTGGGGTTTATAGACATCTTGTGGTTGCGTGCAATGTCCGGGCAACCGGTCTGCAGGACGCATGGGCAGTTCTCGATTTCGTGATTCCGGTCTTGTATTCAGGGTTTAGGAATTGGTGTCCTCATCTCTAGGGTTCCTGAGAAAAGGACCCTCATCTTGAACACAACCTCAACTAGGCCTTGTACACGCAAAAGATGTCTCTCACTACGGTTCAGGGTTCACGAAGGGTCCTCTTCAACTCACCAGTGGACTGCAACCTGGCAGCTAAATAAACTCTAAACCCTAAACCCGAAACCCTAAACCCGAAATCCTAAACCCTAAACCCTAAACCCTCCTCAAGCCCGACAAAACGCAAGAGGCCTCGTTGTTGAAATTGACCGCAGCCTCGCCAAGCCTCATGCATTCAGAACTTCCAAACCATCTTACTTGAAGGACGGTATCCTAATCCTGATAGGGCCCTTGATAAAGTTTGGGAATACTCTGCAATTAAGGGCCTTGGATTTGGGTTGGCTTCAAGAGACACTCTGCTTCTGGCAGGCTACAAGCTGAACGTTTCAAGCACGTGCAGAAGCTCAGCTTGCCAAGGCCCCAGAAGCATCCGACAACCTGTGTACATGCCCTAAACCCTAAACCCTACTAAACCCTAAACCCTAAACCCTAAACCCTAAACCCCATCATTTCCTAGGATGGCCCTTAGAACCCTTGGACCCAATTTTCCTGAATATGATTCCTTAAACCCAACAAGGGAACAATAAAAATGTCCCAAGGGCCTACCTAGTTTCCCTGAAGAACCAAGCCTTACACTTCGAACGTCCCTCGGAAGTGGCCAGCGAAATCTGGGGAATCGAATCTGCTCCAGATTTTGGGGCAAGCTTGCTCCTTGAATCCCTTCTCCCTCCCATCCCCCCCCCATTTCCCCCTATTTTGGAGTAGAACCTGGAAAAAAAGTATATACTTTTTGGGTATAAAGTAGCTATAACAGGAACCCAGAAAAAAACCCATTAAAGTATAGAACTCCAACATCCAGTTCCCACTTGAGAAGTCGCGGGGCTCGATGTGCGGGTTGAGCTGCTTCAAATGGATGGCCGGGGCCTCTGCGGAACCCCGAACTCCCTGAAGGTTGGTGGGCTCTGGGCTACAAAAAGCATACCCACAGCAATTTCGCCTCCCCCCGCCCTCTTTCTCTTGCCTTGTGGGGATAGGAAGGGTGGTTTAGGGTGTGATGGAAGCTGTTGAAGCGCTTAGTGGCAGGATGACCGGAAACCCAGCAAATCTTCAACCCAACGAAGAAAAACAAAACACAAGAAGCAAAGCAAAAGCGCTCCAAAAGTGACTGGACCTGGTTGGCGTAGCTGATGTTGTAGAGCACCTGCTTTCTCGGTTTCTGGGGGCCAAGGAACTCTTGAACCCCCCCCCCCCCTCTGTCAGACAGGCTCCATGAAGGTCTTGGGGTTGTGGAGTTTTGTTCCATCTGTGGACCCTAAACCCTAAACCCTAAACCCTCAACCCTAAACCCCAAACTACTAAACCCTAAACCATAAACCTGCTTACTGAGAATGCTGTCTTCCTAAGGGAGCTAAGAGGCACTGAAGGTATTGAGGGTTTAGGGTTTACGGTTTGGGGTTGGGGTTTAGGGTTTAGGGTTTAGGACTATAGCCTAATCTCGTTAGATTCGTATCGGTGCTTCGAAATGTAGCAAGGCTTGTGGACGATAGGAGCTCTTGTAGGTGAAGGTTTCAAGCCTTCTAGGGTTTCAGACCTTAGGCTTTGGGGTTGGGGCTTGCGGACGTAGGAAAAATGTTGGGCTCACGGGGGGGCTGGCGTTGTAGAAGTAGAAGGACTTCGTGTTAGCTTGTGTTGCCTACTTCATCCTCGAGTGCGCCTGTAGCATATGTGGCCCCTTTAAGGCATCTCATGAGGCGTTCGGTAATTTGGGGGCCTTAATGGCTACAATAGGGTTTTGGGGAACCCTAAACCCTAAACCCTAAGCCATTTTGGGGATTGCCCTGGCATAATCGTATCATCATAAAGGGACCCACATAGAATAGCTCATCATCCTGGAGTTGCGGTTTCTTATGGATCTGGTTTGGGGTGTAGGGGGTTAAAGGGCCGCTCGTCCGAGTCATCGCTCTAATTTCCCTATACCCTAAACCCTAAACCCTGGCCTTCAGGAAGGAAGTCATGGCGCAGGCCTCCTGTTGCACGCCGACCTGCGGAGAGAAACCGATCCTGACATAAGATCCCTAAAGCCCCACCAAAACCTAAACCCAGGAGTAACCTAGGTAGGGGTCCCTTTTTGGTTTAAAGGCGCTTACAAGGGAACCCAAACCCTAGAAAGAGGGAATTCCTAGAAACCCTAAGGTCCCTAAGCCCCCCTCCCCCCAAAACCCTAAGGGTTGAGGGTTTAGGGCTATAAAGCCTGCAGGCCCTAACACCGCTTTCAAAACCCATGAAGCTTAAAGCCCAAGGGCCTAAAAACCCTGAAAGTTCGAGACTCCAGCGCGTCGTGGCTTCCCCCCCCTTCCTAGCCCAAGAGCTGAGAAGCGAGGTGCAAATTTTGTGTTTTTAACAACAATGCAAATGGAACCTAACCGACTAACAGCAAAGAGAGTCGGGGTACTACTGGGCCCTAAACCCTAAACCCTAAACCCTAAACCCTAAACCCAAAACCCAAAACCCAAAACCCAACCCTAAACCCTAAACCCTAAACCCTAAACCCTAAACCCTAAAGTGGTCCTAAACCCTAAACCCTAAACCCTAAACCCTAAACCCTAAACCCTAAACCCTAAACCCTAAACCCTAAACCCCCCAAAACCCTCACGTTCCACCAGTGTTGGGGCTCCCGGGCATTCGGCTTCGCCGAGCTCACGGTCAGCATCTCTCGATCTCCGCCTGGGAAGTCTCCAGGCGTTCTTTCCCAATACAGGGCATACCCCTCATAGAAGGTTTAGGGTTTAGGGTTTAGGGTTTAGGGTTTAGGGTTTAGGGATAGTCAAAGAACCCTTCCGCCTCTCCCCCTGACAAATTCTTGTCATGAAAACCTTCCACATAGGGCACCCACCCATGCTCGGAGACCCGTTGCTGCTTTTGTGTCTTCCAAACGTAAAACGCAGATCCTCTCGATCCTGTGGAATGTTGGTAGTGTCTTCAAGCACCGGGAACATTACTTATGATTTTAGGGTATATTGAAAGCCCTACAACCCTTAAACCCTAAACCCTACACCTCAACCCCCGAACCGGCCCGAAAACCCCAATAGGACCCTAACACGGGGCGGGCTCTGCGAGCTTGGGTGGATGCAGGGCTTTTCGGGTTTAGGGTTTATGGGTTCTACGGGGCCAAAGAGGGCAACCTTCGGGCATATCAGCATGAACGCACACGCACACGTTTCAAAACCGGCCCTCACTCTCTCCTTCAGCTGTCTTCTTCGGCTATGTTGGAGGATCTGGGAAGGTGAGGACCTCGAAGCCTCATGATGGCCTTTTTTAAAGAATGGAGGTTCTGCTGCCTTGGTGCCCTCGAGTCCAGTGTGGCGTGCAGTTTTAGGGAGTGGCACGTTCGGTCCCAGAGTAACCTGGGAACAACAACCAAAGGTACCCTTCTCAGCTTTGCCAAAAGGCTTACAGGGGAAGCTCAAGATACAGAAGCAAGAAGGGGCCCTGGGTCCCAGCGGCTTAAGCTCCTGAAAGTGTCCATTCGCGCCTCTATGTTTTGTTGGGTTCATGTGTAGTGTTGCGGTTGAAGGCCCGGTTGTTCAGCAGCCCCTCTGAGGGAGAAGTGCAAACTGCTGTGGTGCCCTTGGATGATAATACACACTCAGAAGCTAAATCAGGGTACCGAAAGCACAGCACGGAACAGCCTAGCCAAACCCGTCCCCAACCCCAAGACAACAATACTAATGGATATGCATGATCACAATTACAATGAAATACGACTGCTATGATGCCTTATATGTCCATTCTGATTCATATTTTCCTGTTCGATTAAAACTCTTCTTATGATTCTTATTCTTACTATTCTTCATATTCTTGCTGTTACCACGATTAATTTTTCAATGATTCATCAGCTCGACTGACTCTACAAACCCTTCCAACCCCGATGCGTTCCCCTGAGACTCTGAAAACCCCGAGCCCGGGCAAGATTTCGAAAACCCTTTGACCTCCCGAACTACCCGAAACCCAAGTATCACAAGAAATCTATGTAGCCCAAGCAACCCAAGTAACCCCCCCTAGCCCTAAACCCTAAACCCTGAACCTCAAACCCCAAGTAACCCTGAAGACCCCAAAAGAGGGACGCAGGCCGCGCCTTCCATGCCTCGCAGAACTGACAGGGTGGAGGCCACCTGCATCGAGAGAAACTTGGCGAGTTGGGAACCCTTCAACACTCCCAAGGCTTGGCTTGAGGGTTTAGGGTTTAGGGTTTCGGGTTTGGGGTTTAGGGTTTAGGGTTTAGGGCTTAGGGTTTAGGGTTTAGGGTTTAGGGCACCGTGCCGCCACTGCAGGCTCAACGCATGTCAAGGTGCGGCTTGAGGGAAGGGAACCCACCCAACACCGTACAAGCCCCAAGGCAACCCTCTAAACACCCAAAGAAACCTATCAAACCCAACCAAAATACCCCAAACAACCCATAACACCTTACAGCCCGAACTCGGAATACCCCCCAAGTATCAAGAGCCAACTCAACACCTTGCGCCTAAGCAGCTATTGCAGGTCCGGGCTTGCGGCAGCATAGTATGTGGGTGGGCGGTGCCCAAATAGCTCACGGTTGGACTAGTCCATGTGCCTTACGGGGGTTTAGCGTTTACGGTCTAGGGCCACAACAACACACCCCCAAACCCATAAAAAGAGGGACCAAGCTCGGTTAACCGAAGCCACCAGAGACCAAGTCACGAGCGGCCTCGACGCCATCAGACAGGAGGGAGCCTGCAGCATGACACCTGGCCCATGTGTTGAACAGGGGGTTTAGGGTTTAGGGCTAGGGTTTCGGATTTAGGGTTGTGTTAGTTTGAAGCTTCAGGCTTGCGGGCTTAAAGGATCTAGGTTCTAGGTGTTGACGGATTCAGAGCTTGAGAGCTCACCAGTACATGGCTTGCACCTTGCAACCGTTCCAAGAATCACTTACAGTCAGGGCTCTACTGCGGCAGGCCGAAAGTTCGTCGCACTCACAACGTCTCCCCAAGGCATGCTGCTCCTCGCCGTTTCCATTAACAAATCTGGCGTCCAGGACCCATGTGACGATTTCTGCTTGTGTCTGCGGCGCTTTCGGCGCAAGTCCTCCCCTTGCCTCTCTCGTTCGATCGTCACACTGTCTCACCAGAAACCCTTTTGGAAGTTTCGGCAAGACCAGTGCTCCCCCAACGCATGCTGCGGCAGGCCGAAAGTTCGTCGCACTCACATCGTAACACACGAAGACAGCAGAAGACCCCTTCTCCCCCATAGACTCCTGCGCTCCAAGAGCGGCGGGTCCTCCTCCGTAACAGTAAGAATAGTATAAGTGTATTCTGGTGAAGTAGTTCCTCCGCTCGCCAGGCTAGGACACAACCATGATGCAGTACTCCGCTGTCCTAAGTCAACTTTGTCTTGTCAAGAGCGACGAAACTTTATTCCTGGTCATGTATAGCGATGGCAAAGTGCAAACGTTCCTCTTCGGCACCGAACCAGATCCTGCGAATTCTTAGAGGGTTCTTAAGGGGGGGGGGTGTGGGGGGTGTGGGAGTATTGGTGGGGAGTATGAGGGAACCTTCGGTTACATACCTCCCTTGAACCCCCCCCCCGGTTAAGAACCCTGTAAAGCATTTCCTTGAAGCGTGGCCAGGCAGACTCCATAGCATCGACGTCCAAAGGCGAGATGCCGGCATGTCGGACGCAGTCGGCGATGGCCTTTCTTGGCGGCTTCGGGAGGGGCTTGCTTCGGGAATTGGGGTTTTAGGGCTCAGGGTTCATATGGGGGTTTCTGAAAATAGGGGTACTCTTTTTGGGGGTCCCTGTAAAGGGACTCTATTCTATTTGGGGCATATAAGGGGGGCACCCCCTATGTTTGGACATGCCCAGATAAACATTCTGGAAATTCCATGTAGGGTTCTCGCCGTGAAAATTCAACGTTTGGTCCAAATCAACCCGGGGCGTGGGGGTTTAGAGAGCAAAAGCTCCCGGTTTCATCGTGCCAGAGGTATCATGCTTTCAGGGAAGCAGGCACAGAAACTTGACATCCTAGTGCTGTTGGAGAGCCTACTTCAGAGATGTCCCTTGCATACCCAGAGCCATAGCATGTCAACCACAAGCATCGTCTAGTCAGACCCGGATTTAGCCCACCCTTCGGCGCACCCGACCTAAACCCTAAACCCTAAACCCTAAACCCTAAACCCTAAACCCTAAACCCTAAACCCTAAAACCCTTCCGAAGCCGTTGGCTGCCTCAAACGCCATACCCGAAAGATAGGACCCTTAAGAACGCCATCCTGTATGCAAAGAGCCCCAGAGAGCTCTGCATCTACATCTCACGTGAGCATACACATAATATGTATACGCATATGCATGTGCCACGCGCCTGTGTTCCTTTCCCATCCGCATATCATATGATCTGAAATGATCTGGCATCATACCAGAGCACATATTTACACATGCACACACGATTGCAATGCTCCTATATTTCAGGAGGACCCACAAAACGAACCAAGACTTGCTGTAGAGAGAAGTCGCTATGTACCTCGAAAACTCTTGAACCCCGCACCCGAAACATCAAACAGGCCCCTGCGCTCCATACCCGCGGACTCCCAAACCCTAAACCCTAAACCCTAAACCCTAAACCCTAAGCCCTAAGCCCTAAACCCCACACCTAAGCCACAAAAAGCCATGCACAGCCCTTTAGCCCTGGCTGGTGCCCCCGGCCTCCTGCTCGGCAGGTCCACTGGGTGCCGCCAGGCCCGCGCTGCGCCCGTTGTTCCTCGATCAAAAGGTTTAGGGTTTAGGGTTTAGGGTTTAGGGTTTAGGGTAAAACCCCAAGACTGCATGGGCCTACATGGGGTTCAGGTTCGGATGTTTCCCCTGAAGCTAACAGCTCCTTAATAGGGATTATAGCAACCCCCTACTATAATCCCTATTAAGGACTCTTAGTTTTAGGGGGGAACATGCCAAGGTTTAGGGTTCAAGGTTTAGGGTTGAGGGTACATTGGGTTTAGGGTGTAAAGGTTGCCCAAAATTTGGGGATAACCTTGAAGCATTTTAGGGGGTCTATTCGGGTTACGCTATTTGAGACATACCAGATCTAAGGAGCACACCTTGAACTATAGTACAGATCATGTAAATCTAGCAGGGGATGGTAGCATTCTGCAATTTACTTCAAGGGCGTTCCGTAGGTTCTCCAGTAACACCAGGGGAACAAGCCCCGGAAAGGGAAAGTGAGGTTAACGTTGGGGTCCTGGTCATGTGGCTTTCCTGAAAGGTTTTGGGTTTGCAGTTCTGGTTGAACCTGGCAGTGCGTTTCCTGTGTAAGCAGGTGATTACAAGGGGATAATGGGTACTCATATCGGCTCCGGTTTTACCCCTAAACCCTAAATCCTCTCCGCGCTATCTGCAGCGAAGGCGCGTCATGCGCCAGCCGACGAGGGTACCTGCGACCGCAGTTTCAAGGCTTCGGGTTTGGTCCACCTGATATCAAGACATCACCGCTGAGAAATCATGCCTGAAGCCAGATTCTGGGAGTTTCAAGCAGTTGAGGGGGGGGGAAGTATTGGATGGAAGACAATCGCACCCCCGATCCCAGCATAACCTTGCCGAAGGCGAGGGCCGCATCTTGCAAGATGCTTGGACATGCAGGAGCCCAAGTGGTTCAGGAAGACTTTGTCTCTTCAAGCAGTACGAGAGAAACTACACCAAAACGCCCTCATCGGAAGACCCTAAAGCCCTTCAGTAATCCTCTTTCCCCCCCATGGGCCTAGGACAGGCGCGTCCACGACCAGCAGCTGGTTGTCGACCTTCTCGGCATACGGCTTCAGAGCTGCCTTGGAGGTGAAAAATGTCTTCAGTTGTGGTGGTTTAGGGCTTAGGGCGTAGGGTGTAGGGTAGTTCTGGCATCCTTTTTGAAGGTCTGGGGCCCCCAACGCTGGCACAGCATTCGCCGCGCACGTAGCCGTTGGCGGCCTCACGTGTTGGGAGCAGGAGAGCTTTTCTCAGAAGCGATGAAGTGCAATCCTGGGAAAACCTGGGGTTCTACACGAATAATAATGCAACATACCCCACAATCTCTTTGAAGAGCCCGCTGAAACCCTAAACTCCCACTAAACCCTAAACCCTAAACCCTAAACCCTAAACTCTAAACTCAGTACTTCAGGCAAGGATCCCTTGGAGGGTTCCCTAAGTTTGAAGCCTCAACCCTATTCGAATCCCGAAGCTGCCCCTTCTTTTGCTGAAAGGTCCTCAAGGCCCCCCTAAACCCTAAACCCTAAACCCCAAACCCTAAACCCTAAACCTAAACCCTAAACCCTAAACCCCAAACCCTAAACCCTAAACCCTAAACCCTAAACCCTACTGAGTAAGCCTACTTAGTATCCCCTCATCACCCCACCTTACCAACCCTACTTGCTAAGTCTAAAGGGCTTCCAACTTGGTCGCCCAGCAACCATCTTGTAATAAGGGCACCTGTTTTTCTAAGTTGGACACTCTGTACGGGAACCTTGAACCCCCCCCCACCCTAACAAAAGGAGAAAGGGTACCCTCTGCCTGATCGAAGGAAAAGCATCTGCCCGCAGGGTTCATGTAGGCATTGAACCGTGGCCTCAGTCTGTTTAGGGTTGTAGGGTTTAGGGTTTCGGCTTGAGGGTGACTCGAGTTTGCTAGAGATGGAGGCTGAAAGTTTTAGGGTCTAGGCCTTCGCCTTCGACATGTGGTTCAGTGTGGAGCCCAAATACACCCTAAAGCCTTAAACCCCCAACCACCCCAAACCCCTAAACCCTACACCCAAGACCCAAGACACAAAAAACCTAAACCCTAAACCCTACACCCCTAAATCCCTCAACCCTTGTCTGGGTTAAGCTTGCGCCAGCGACTGGGGGCACCGGCCACATGAACGGCGACATCTGCAGGAACACCCCGCCGCAGATGGCTGCCTGGCTCACTGTTTAGGCAGGGGTTTCGGGTTTAGGGTGTAGGGCTAGGGTTTAGGGTTTAGGGCTACGAAAATAAGGGACCTGCAGTACAAACCCCAAGTAGTGGCATCCCCTTATCATAAGGACCCCAGTAAGGTACCGCGAATGTCGGAAACCGCCAGGTAAGTACACGCGGATTACCCTGTTATTCTCAATAGAACTACTCAAGTTCCTTGCCCCAACACCCCAAACCCTAAACCCCCAACTAAACCCTAAACCCTAAACCCTAAACCCTAAACCCTAAACCCTAAACCCCAAACCCTAAACCCTAAACCCTAAACCCCAAACCCTAAACCCTAAACCCAACGGACAGTCTGTTTGCTTTTTTACGGGGTTTCGGGCTTAGGCTGCGGAAACCATACCTCAGTTCCCTGGATCCCTCGGCCTTAAAAGCCCGCACCTTCTTTCAGAGAGCCATGACCGTCATACACACACAGGGCTTAGGGTTTAGGGCTTAGGGCTTAGGGCTTAGGGTTTAGGGTTAAGGGTTTAGGGTTTAGGGTTAGAGCAACGGTTTTCATCCTCTGTTTGCACCTTCCGCAACCCTTGAACCCCAGACATGTGAACGTAGTCATCTTTAAAATACCGGCTGTGTGTGTGTGTGTGCACATACATACATGTGTACATCTACATTTATACACGACATTTTCTTGATACTGTTCACGACTGCTTTGTATCTATTGGGGCGGTTGAATACAGCAGAGAGGGGAAGGAACTATTGATGCCGGTCGCCGCTTTTCCTGTCGCCGCAGACAAGGACTCAAAATGACGCGAGGCAGCTGGAGTTTCCAGGCTTTAGGGCTTAGGGTGAGCATCTTGATGTGATTTATGACACATGCCTTGAGTTAAAGTAGGGGTTTTGACTATGATTCAATTAAAGTACCGAACTCAAAACCCGAAATGATAAAACCCTAACCCGAAGCCAGTCCTAGGAATGGGATGTGTAGCCCTCAGTGGCGGCAGTCTTGGCAGCTTGGGAAGCTTGTGCGGCAGCCCAGGTGTCATACATGACCTGCAATTGGTGTTAGGGTTCAGGGTTCAGGGTTTAGGGTTTAGGGTTTAGGGTTTAGGGGTTGGGCTGTTCCCCTTTATACTACGAGTCCTTCGTAGTGATTCTAGTAGGGGGTACTAGAATCCCTAGTAAGGACTGTTCGTATAAGCGGGAGCATTCCAAGTTTAGGGTCTCGAAGTCTCTTGGGGTTTGAGGGCGTGTAGGGTTTGGGGGCTTTAGTCTTCGGGGTCTTCTCTCAAGGGGGCTTGGGGGTTTCGGTGTCAGGGCTGAACAGATTCTAAGTAGCAAAAATGGGAACCCAGAATCAACAAAAAGTATTGAAGTATCGTACTTCAAAACCCATGATTTCCAGTCAGGGCGCAGCCTATCTTTGTTTACCTGGCGGTTTTGTAAGGGAACCTCACAGCACATATCTTCGACACCCCTAAAGCCCTTGAACTTCAAACCCCCCAAACCCGAAACTGCAAGAGGGCCGCCACTGGGGTCCTGCTTGGAGGTTCATGGGCACTTATAACCGCAGTTCTAACTGCTCTTGGAAGGCCCCTAAGTCCTCTTCGTAGGTTATTAAGTAGACGAATAACTGGGGGCAGAAGTACCCCCTGAACCTCCACGTGGGTTGTCGGGCTCAAGGATCCCAGAGATACTTCCCGAGGTCACGTTGCGCTTGACGTTGCGCTAGACAGAAAACCAATATGCAAACTTTGCAGGCAACGGAAACGCCAAAGCCCTAAACCCCAAAAATCTTGAACTCCCAAAACTCTGAAGCTCTTAAGCCCCAAACTCTCAACACACCATCTCGAAACCTTGGCCCTTAAACGGTCAGCGAACAAAAAAGCACCCTGAACCCTAAACCGCCGTAAGCCCTCAACACCTCAGAACCTTTCAGAAACCCTTCATCCTTAAATCCTCGGAACCTGAAACCCCAAAATCCTTAGCCCTCTCAGCCCTGCCCCCCCCCCCCCCAGGCCTCCCGTTGCCCTGGGCCAAAGAGCAAGTCAACCTCAAAGAACTCCATGGCGGCAACCGCAAGGGTCCTGAGTTTTTGGGATTCTGGAGCGGTTGAAGGGGGGTTTAGGGTTTAGGGTTTAGGGTTTAGATCTCTAAGTTAGGGACCCTGAAGAAGTAACCCCAAACAAGGGACCGTAATATCGAGAAGTTACCATGTAGGGTTTCTGGGCTTGGGGCTTCTGAGGGCGGCGGTTTAGTGTTTGAAGTGTTCGGAGGGGGGGGGGGGGTTCAGCACAAAACCGCTCTTCAAGGACTAAACCCTAAACCCTAAACCCTAAACCCCAAACCCTAAACCCTAAACACTAAATTCTCTGGATTCCGGTGCCGTTGTGGGGTCCATCTTGCAACCTCGAGCCTTTTGCCCTGATGACCTGGTGCCTCGAACTCTAGAGGCTGTAACACTCCCCGAGTTTTTCAACTCTTACACCTTGGGATGATCCCCCTTATACTAACAGACCTTAATAGGGATTGATTGACATAGGGGGGTACTTGAAATCGGGGGTACTATCATCCCTATTAAGGACTGCAAGTATAGGGGGAACATCCCAGCTTATACACTCTACTCTACAGAAACTAGCACCTACTATGTTATACATACACCGATCATCTACTATTTGCTTAAGAATCTCAAAAAAACAAAAACAAAACTTCCTTATAAGGGCCATTGTCAGCTGATATTAGATATTCTTTAGGGGGGCTCTTAAGCAAATGGCACTAGCATCGGTATCGTTTTGAGAGGGTTCATGAGGAAGAGATTAAGCATCGCTGGCCGAAGTCGCATACACAAAGCGAGCTTCCCGTTGCACTGGATCGCGGCCCAACTTGAGCCCCTAGGCCCCAAACCCCCTAAAACTTTAAACTCCCAAACCCTAGAAACCTAAAACTCTGAACTCCTCAATCTGAACTGGGCCGTAGGATGGTCGGAACCCTTTTTGTCACAGAGCCACTGAAACCCCCTCAACCCCCAGTAAACCCTAAACCCTGAAGCACTATGCACAGACCTGCGGAGAGCCTCTCCGATCTTTACTTGAGGCATGCGCAAGTTGTGGTGGAGAGGGGTGACCCTTTGCCACTGAAACCCGAAACCCGAAACCCGGCAATCATGAAAAAAACCCTACTACCCCAAGTATAGCCTTAACTTCTGGAAAAAACCTTGGGGGTGGGGGGGGGCGGGTAGTACAGAGGGGGGGTGGGGTAGTATGGGAACCCTGATACAAGAAGAAGACGGGCAACCCTAAACCCGAAACCCTAAACCCTAAACCCTAAAACCGAAACCCGAAACCCTAAACCCTGCCAGGGTGCCCCAGGTTGTAGGACTGCGAGTCTGGTGAGGCCAGGTCTTCCAGCGCTGCCACTGCTCGGTCAAACCTTGGGGTAGTGACGTGGTGCCCTTAAAAGGGGGGTTTAGGGTTTAGGGTTTAGGGTTTAGGACGCCTTCTATACTCTAAACCAACCTAAGGCCCATAATTACAACTACCCTTGGAGCACCCTGAACCCCAAACCACGAATCCTAACACCCCCCTCCTCCACCCCTCCTCCCCCCCCCCAAGCAAATTCCAAACGAACTCTAAACCCGAAACCCCCTAGTCCTTAAGCCCGCAAAACTGTCAACCCAAACTAACTCATCCTTTAGCTCCCTATCAGGGCCCTGGTACCCTCGGGCTTTAAAGTCATTTATTAGTGCTCATCCCGAACCCGCAAAAGGCACCCCCCCAGAATCTTTAAAATTTGAGGTTTCGGGCTTAGGCACCAGAAACCCTATGCCAGAAACCCTAGACTCAACCCTGATAAGTTTAGGTTTCTGTTTTAAGGTTTAGGGTTCAACCTTACGAACCCCCCCCCCCTCCCCGAAAACCCTAAACCCTAAGCCTAAACGCTAAACCCTAAACCCTAAACCCCCAAAACAGACAGAGAGCTTGGGGGACCCGGACAGCCGGGTACGTAACTCCTGGACTGCGGTGGAGAAGGGTTGCTTGCAGCTCACTGCTCCTGGGCTTTGGCGGTTGCTGGGCTTAGGGTTTAGGGTTTAGGGCTTAGGATTTCCGGTGTAGGGTTTAGGGTTTAGGGTGTAGGGTGTAGGGTTTAGGGTTAGGGTGCCAGGTGTTAGGGCTTGTTTAGGGGTTGAGAGCTTGGGGTGACAAAAAGGGATAGTGTCTAGGGTACTACCTGAAAGGTCATCTAGAGACAAAAGCACCACGCAGCAGGGGACTATCTGATCTTCAGCACCCCTCCTGATATACCTTTTGAGGGGGGGGAATTCTGCTATCAAAAACCGCCCAGAAGCCAACAACAACCTGAACTGCAGAGCCGAGCATCTGTTCTTACCCTTGCCTCTGCCGCCCCTGCCTTGGCTCGCCACTTGAGTGTATTGAGAGCAGGGTTTCCTAGTTGTCCATTAACCTGGGGGAATTACAGGTTAACCTTCGGGATTATAAGGGAACTATACTACCCTAAAAAGGTTAAAGGTTACCTACTCTACTACTAGGGCTTTAGGGGCCTTAGGGCAGCTGTCAACGGCTTGCGGGCAAAATTTAGGGTTTAGGGTTTAGGGTTTCAAAAGCCCTAAACCATGAGATCGGAGATCCATGGTCAGTTCCAGCTGGGGCTTCTGGAGGCAGACGAATGATGGTTGAAACTGGCTCTAAACCCCCTTTCATGTACCTCTATCCCTAAAACTCTATGCCTTTAAGTGTGGGGGAACTGCACCAAAGGCTCGAATCCTCAGCCCCAGACGCCCGAGGCTGAAGTGCCACAAATGACAGCGGGTCAGGAGGGGTCTCCCCAACCCCCAATATACCGTTTAGGGTTTAGGATGTACCATTTGCCTGGGACAGCGATTCGCAAGGCGTCCCAGGGCATCACAGAAGCGCAGCCAGTTTGGTCCGTGCATTCTTTTCTCCGTGCGGTTCGTCTTTGACGAAGCTCGCGTTAAATCTTTCATTTGGGACCCCTTGCTAACAACAGCTATAGAGCAATGCCAGTGCTGAGCAGAGATTGCGTTTGCAGATTTTCTTCGCGTTGTGGACTCAGCGGCACGAGTTTGCTGAGGTGTGATTCCAAAAGGTCACTGTCCTCAGGACGCTGAGTTGTGCAGCTGAGGGGAAGCCTTAAAGATGACAAGCTCTCCGGCCTCCAAGCTGCGCACGCCATGCTTGCAAATGGGCAGCTAGGTCGGCAGTAAGCAAGAAAAGACGGGTGGTTGGAACATTTTGCTTCAGCCCCATGAGATTCCTCAAAATCTTACGGCCATGCATGCTGAGTGGGTGCGAGGCATCGTTGACGCAGGGAATGTGGACACTGACTTAGGCGTGCCCCCCACCCCCCCCCCCCCCCTTTCCAAACGAAAACCTCCGAACCTTGACCTTAGGGGGATTTGGGATTTGCAGAGCAGGACTGTTTCGGGTTTCGGGATGTGAAGGTGCAGCGCCGTGCTTCTTTGCATTCATTGAGGCAGATTTTTGTAGGGCGGAACCACCCCCCCCTCCCCCCACAAACCGGCCGAACCTTCTCCGCCAGGAAACTTTCCAAACGAAACTCGAGCTCCCCCCAGAAGAGGCTCCAAACAGGCTGAAAACCAGGCACGGAGAACGACCGTGTGCGAATGCAAGCTACCGTTTCGAGGGCGCTGGGACTGTTCGCCCTGGGAGGGCCATGGGGGTACCTGACACGCCACTGGCACCGTCTGTGGATTCTTGTGGTTTAAACCTGATAACTCTCCAAACCCTAAACCCTAAACCCTAAACCCTAAACCCTAAACCCTAAACCCGAAACCCCCTTCTCCAAGAAGAGCCAGGGGTCCTTTGAAGGGCATCTCAGGGTCCCCACACATCTGGTCCACTTCGTTGACAACCTGGTGCTCCAACAGGTTTAGGGTTTAGGGTTTAGGGTTTAGGGTTTAGGGTTTAGGGTTTAGGGTTTAGGGTTTAGGACACCCAGTGACCCCTAAAGCCCTGGCACAGCTGAAGCCCCGAAGCCCAAAGACCCTCAAAGCTTAGGGTTTAGGGCTTCGGGTTCAGGGACACCTTATGAAAACCCCATGCAAAGAAGCCCGCGAAGCCCGATATCAAAAGCCCGCACTGAAGGTTCGACCCTAACCCCTAAACCCTCAACCCTAAGCCCTAAACCCTCCACCCTAAGCCCTAAACCCTCAACCCTAAGCCCTGAACCCTCAAGCCTAAACCCTAAAGCCCTAAAACCCTAAACCCTAAACCCATCAAGGTGGCCTGGTTCCAGCGCTCGGCCTCGTCATTCGCAGCTCGCAGCGCAGCCAGAAAGTCGGGGGGCATCTGGCCGGTTTAGGGTTTAGGGTTTGGGGTTTAGGGTTTAGGGTTTGGGGTTTAGGGTTTAGGGTTTGGGGTTTGGGGTTTAGGGTTTGGGGTCCCAGAACCCCAACCGATTTGGGCTTCAAGGTCTCCCCCCAATTCATTCAGAATGTAGGGTTTAGGTTTTTACGGACCCTAAACCCTACACCCTGGCGCCCCTCTTGAATATTGGTTTCGTATAAAGGGATCGGAAGCGCCCTCTTGTGGTTTCCCCTTAAGCCCTAGACCCCAGAACCCATATGATAGGTCATTGGGGGTGTAGGGAAGGGGTGACCCTACTTTTGGAAACGCCCGTCAGAGTTCTTTAAGAATTTGTTCTTGGGCTTTGGGTTTAGGGCTTGGGGGACCCGTGGTGCAAGGCTTCTTCAGGTGTAGTAAGGCCGGGAAGCCCCAACCCCTCCCCCCCCCCCCACAATCCGAAAAACCCAGCTCAGGAAACCCTAAACCCTAAACCCTAAACCCGAAGAAGGAAAAAGGGATCCCCCCAAAATTGTCATCCAAAGCTCCTTGCCCAGATGTCTGGTGAAGATCTTTGCAGGCCAGCCCTCCAGGCCCGTGTAACGCGGATTGAACGGGTCCTCCTCCCCAAGCTTCTGCCTGCGAGATTTTTTTTGGAACTCTCAGCCAAAGGTTCAGGGTTTAGGGTTTAGGGTTTAGGGTTTTGAAAGGGTGGCCTTGTGGTGCAACGGGGGGGGTGATCTGGGGTAATCAGTCGCCCCTGCCCTGCTCAGAGCCTACCGGTGCGATCATGCCCGTGATCCCCTGCCTCAAAAGAGCTCTCGACACTAAAACTTGATAGAGGCCACACGCCCGAATGGAGATAATTCACGTGAGAGGCAGCACGATGACGACACACGAGTGCGTCTCGACGTCGCAGCGTGAGTTCCCACGCGAAGACTTGATTAACCGCTGGCACGAGCCACCTGCCGTCACGATCCTTGTGATCGTCAGCAGTTTTGGCACGCGAAGCTTCTAAGAAGCCTTGACGACAACTTCGAGGATGGCGACATTGACGCTCATGATCCTGGAGACTGCGTCGATCTTTGACAGGCACGAGGATGACGACTCCGATGCTCGACATCCTCGTAGCTGTCGGCGCTGTTGCATTTTGGAACTTCGCCAAAGTTGCAAACAGTGACGAGAGATGCGAGGATGCCGACTTCGACGCGCCTCTGACCTTCGAAGCTTAGAATGACCTCAAAAGCCGCCCAAAGCGACGACCTTCACGAGTTTGATCACAAATGAAAGCTGGCGAACCCTCGCGGACGGTAGCGGACGCTTGCGAGCGCTAAGCGTACGGGTCCGGGTCACCTCCCCTGAACCACGCACTGGAAAAAACACCATGCCCAGTGTGCGCGGCAAGGGACGAGCGTCTCTACTTCTTCGGGTTAATCCCTCAACCCCTAAACCCTAAACCCTAAACCCTACGCCCCCTAACCCCTGGAATTTTGGGATTCCTGAAGCTTGTTCGCTGGCCTCCAGTCTCTCAGCACGATCCCGCAAGTCCAGTGGCCGCTAACGCCTATGTCTGGACCTTGACTTGTGCTCTCAACCCTAAACCCTAAACCCTAAACCCTAAACCCTCGAAGTATGGGGGGGTTTTCGAAATTAGCGGTACCTCATCGGGGTCCTTGTTATAAGGGAACCCTAGTATTTGGAGATCAATCTTGGGGGCCCCATTTTCGTAAACCTCCATATGTTAACCCCCGAATGACTAACCAACCTCACCATAAAACTGTCCGCGCAAGACTACCAAGCACATCAGGTGCGACATTGAAGACTGAAGAAGCAGAGGTTCTTTCGGATACAAGCCGACATGCCGAAAATAGGGGTACCTTCTTGGGGCCCTTCTTACAACGGAATCCTACCCTTTGGGGGGAATAATGGGGGGCCAAGTATTTTCGCAATCATCGACAGGTACATAAGAGACTGCATCAAGAGCATTGCAGCAACCCGCCTACACCCTAAACCCCTAAACCCCTAAACCCCTAAACCCCTAAACCCCTAAACCCCTAAACCCCTAAACCCCTAAACCCCTAAACCCCTAAACCCCGAAACCCCTAAACCCCTAAACCCCTAAACCCTAAACCCTAAACCCTAAACCCAACTGCGCCAAGTAGCTTGCAATGCGCAGAGGCCCGAGGCTTTTCACTGCAGCCTCCTCCGCCTCCTCTGCTTCCTTGGGGGGCGGATCCGCTTTGGGTGCTTTGGGATGTTTTAGGGTTTTTTTGGGATTTCTAGGACTTCCGGGCTTCGGCGTCTCAAGGGTTTAGGGTTCAAGGGTTCAAGGGTCTGGGGGCCCAAAGTTCCGGGCAAAGAGTGCTACGGTGCTTTGAGTCTTTTCTCCACAGCCCCCAATTTGGGTGCCTGTTGGGGTACAGGCACCCAATAAACAGGAAGCCCCCAAAGGGACCCTAATATCGAGAACTGCCCACATGCAAGATGTTCTTGTCTCCTTCAGGCGGGGGGGGGATGTACGTGCCCACGAAGCCCCAAAGCCGCACGACCCGAAGCCCTTGATGAGGTTGCACCCTGTCTTCGGGTAAAATATTTCGGGGCTTCCTCCTATAAGGGTATTTCCCAAAATAGGGGTACCGGATTTATACCCCAAATAGAATAGAATCCCCTTCACAGGGACCCCCCAAAACGGCACCCCTTACTTTCGGAAACCCCTATAGAAAGAAATCTACCATTTTGGGCTCGAACCTTCAAGTAAGAGAGCCCCTTTCGCACGAGGCGTCGCGCTGTCCCCACCGCGCCGACGCGGGTGCCGCCATTGCCGCTGCAAAGTCGGGGCGAAGACGCTGGAGTTCCTGTACGCAGCCCCTTCAGTGCCCTAATATGGTGGCTACAATTTGGGTTATTAAGTACAGGTATAATTGGTTAATAAGTACCATGAACCTCCAAGTAGGGTTTGGAGCTTTGGTTTGGGGCGTTAGTCTTGTTTGCCTGGAGCTCCAAGGCCCTGAAGCTCTGAACCCTTTCTCATCCGTAATCCTTAATGCCTAAGAAACTTCCGCCCTCAGTCCTCAAACCCTTACGACTTTACACCCGAAACCCTAAGCCGCATACCCTTAAACTGGAGTCCTCCCAGGACTTCACACGCAGAGAGCTGGAAAACACCATGCTCCGGAACCGCAGCTGACCGCTTCCCTGAGGAGGAAAGGGTGTAGGGCTTCTCTAGACCCAAGAGTACCCAAAGAGCCCAAAGAGCCCAATACCAGTTAAACAAGGAATGTACCTTAAATCATATGAAGGGATCCCTATATAGTTCAAGGTACATTCCTTAACTGTAAAGGGGTGTTGGGCTCTCTGAGTAACCTAGGAATGAAAAGGGTGCCTAAACCCGAAGAAAAAGAAAAACAGGGGGTTGATGGTTTAGCTCTTACGGAGCAGGTTTAGGGCCGCGGGTATTTGCGCACGAGGTCCAGGCGCCCGGGGAATTTCCAAAACTTCTACATGGTAGGGTTCAGGGTTTAGGGTTTAGGGTTTAGGGTTTAGGGTTTAGGGTTTAGGGTTTAGGGTTTAGGGTTTAGGGTTTAGGGTTTGAGTTTGCATAAGTAGGTTAGCTGGAGTTTTATAACTGGCGCAAACCATACTTCTAGCCCTACTGAAAAGGAAGCCCGCCATGGAATCCCTACAGGGTGAGTGATGCCCGTGCCCCTAAACCCTAAACCCTAAACCCTAAACCCTAAACCCTAAACCCTCGTGCGCCTCATTCACGAAGGCTGTGCTGGCCAGCAGGTCACCCCCCTCCATCAGAAGCACGGCGGCAATCCAGCCGTAGCCGTCGGAAATCATGAGAAAGGAGGCCTTGATCTTCCAAGAATAGGGGTTTAGGGTTTAGGGTTTCGGCACCTTATACTCCTCTCGTAAAGCTCCCCAAAAAGGCCTAAACCCTAAATCCCTGAACCCTAAAGCCCCTATCAACCCTCATGCCCTAACCCCGCCCCACAACCCTCAACCCCCCCCCCACTCCTTGAACGCTCAAAGCCCAAAACTGCGCTACAACCCCACCCCCCCTCCTTGAACCCTAAACCCTGACGCTGAACACTAAACCCTAAACCCCAAAAGTCTAGAAGTTCTACCTCGGACTGTTAATCCCATAAAAAAAAAACCCAAAGCCCTGGCCCTAAACCCTAAACCCTAAACCCTAAACCCTAAGCCCTAAGCCCTAAACCCTAAACCCTAAACCCCAAACCCTAAACGCTAAACCCTAAACCCCAAGCACTGTCCCCCTAAACTGGCCCTAGGCAATCGGCTTGAAGCGCAAGGACTGCCACCACCTCCTTCTGCGGGACCCCTACCTTGGCGTTATTCTCTTGCTTTCTTTGGGGTTTAGGGTTTAGGGTTTCGGGTTTAGGGTCTGACTCTAGAATTGAAGGTTTTTGGGGGTTTTGGGGGTTTAGGGCTTTTCTTGAACTAGGGTGGCCCTTAAAACCTCTCTGAAAAACATATTCCTACATCTCAGTAAGGGGAGCAGGTGCGGTGTGATTTCAGGTGCCAGGATGGCCCCTGAAGCCCTCTGAAAAAACATGCGAAATGTGATCCGCTTAAACCCAATAAGGGAAAGTATGCCTAAATATGATCCGCTTAAGCCCAATAAGGGCAAGTATGCCTCAATATATTGCTCTGAAACCCAATAAGGGCAAATATACCTAAGTATGATCCTCTTAAACCCATTAAGGGCAAATATACCTAAATATATTCCTCTTAACCCCAATAAGGGAAAGTATGCCTAGATATGATCCTCTTAAAACCCAACAAGGGAAAATACGAAATATCCCAACGGCCTTTCTAGTTACAGGTCCTTGATATAGGGAGTTAAGGTTCCTTTTGCTTTGGAGGGGGGGGGGGGTTGGAGGGGCTTCAGATGGGTTTAGGATCCCTGTGAAGCCTTACAGTTTAGGGTTTATATAGGGAAAACCCTAAACCCTAAACCCTAAACCGGTTTTGGACTGCAGGTTTTGGGATGGAGAGGCTTAGGGCGTTCGGGGCTTTAGGAGTTGGAGCGGTTTCGTGGGCGGTTCGGGAAAGACCGGGGTTCAGGGACTTGGGGCCCGTAGGATTTTGAAGGCCCAGAAGGGTTTAGGGTTTAGGGTTTAGGGTTCAGGGGTTTGGGGTGCGCAGTATCGCAAGATCTCTTGGGACATGAACCCTAAACCCAGCGAGATTCCCTCGCCAAGCCGAGCGAGGTACCCCGAATAAGACCCTCTTAAACACCAGTACCCTCAACCCAAAACCCTCTACTAAGCCCCACTACCCGCAACCCTAACACCCCAGTACAAGGAACAAACACAAAACCCTTGCAAAAGGGCCTAAGCATAAAACCCCAATACCCTAAACCCTAAAAGCCCAACAAGGGGAAGCAATAGTATAAACACCCACACCGCTACAGCTCTGAACCCTACACCCCTCCAAAATCCTACTCCCCAATAAGGGAGGACAATATACAGGTACCTAAACCCTAAACCCTAAACCCTAAACCCTAAACCCTAAACCCTAAACCCTAAACCCTAAACCCTGCTTTAAGGACCTTCTAGAGGAAGGACAAAACCCTGGGCTTCCGGGCCAGTGCTTCCCAAGGCAGCCATTCGGAACCGAGCCTGGTTTATCCCCTTTTAAGAAGGAATAGGGTTTAGGGTTTAGGGTTTGGGGTTTAGGGTTTAGGGTTTAGGGTTTAGGTACCTGTATAGGTACCCTATACCCCTCCTTTCTATACACCTTTGAAAGGATAAACCCTCTTAACAAAGAGTAGCCTTCAATTAAAATTGCCTTCAAGCAATAGGGTATGAAGGAAGCAGGTACCCTTTAACCCGCCTTCATGTTTTTTTCCCTTTGCAGGATTAACCCTCCTTTAAAATAGTAGCCTTCAGACTAATGGGGCCTGAGGCAAGTAGATGACTCTAAGAAAAGGATCCTCTTGAAGCCTAAACCCTAAACCCCAAACCCCAAACCCTAAACCCTAAACCCTAAACGGGCCCAGGAGCTGCTCCTGACCCAGCTTCAGGTGGATCCGGGTGAGGTCGGTGTCGCCTTCGCCTTCGAGCCGGTAGCCATCCTCGGCTGCTTTTTCGGGGCGTTGGGTTGAGGGTTTAGGGTTTAGGGTTTGAGGGTTTAGGGTTTTAGGGTTTAGGGTTTAAGGGTTAAAGGGGTTTAGGGTTTTAGGGTTTAGGGCTTAGGGTTGATTGCTTGTCGGGGCTTTGGCGGCTTTCCCCCCCCCCCCCCCCCCCCCCCCCCCCCGCCTCAGCCCCTTTCCCCCCTCTTTCCTCGCCCCAATGCCGTTAGGGAGCTCAAATTATTCTATTGAGGTCTCCATGGTGATCTGGGGGGAACAGCTCTCCTTCGCGAAGGGGTTTTGGGAAGCTCTGGGATACTTGTTGGGTTAGGGTTTAGGGTTTCGGGTTTTTAGGGTTTAGGGTACAGACACCATACAACTGCAACAATCAATCTTACTGCTGAAGAGCCGGGTTTCTTTGCACGCCGCCTTCCCAAGTCGGAGGACAGGGGCGTTGATCGGTTCAAGGTAAGGCCTTACACCCCAAACCCCAAACCAAACCCTAAACCCTAAACTTTAAGGTCCAGCCTCTAAGGTTGGAACCTAGTATGGTCCCTGAGCCTTGTTCTAGGATCCGAAGTATGGGCCCTTACTATGTATAGTGTATATAAGAGTTATAGGTTTAGGGTTGAGGGTTTATAGAACAGGGGCCCAAATTAAGGGCCCGTACTTGGAACCCTAGGCAGCAGGCTGATAAGGCTCATCGGACTGTCGGGATGTCTAGGGCTTATAGAGATTAGAGGTTTAGGGTTTAGGGTTTAGGATTTGGGGTTTAGGGTTTAGGATTTGGGGTTTAGGGTTTAGAGCTCATCGCCAGGAGTGATGCTAATGGCTTTAAAGCTTGCAAGAGCCCAAAACCTTAAACCCTAAGCCCATACTTGGGTGTAGGGTTTAGGGTTTGGTGCTTTAAAAGCTTGCAAGGGATTTTTTTGGGGGAAACTGTGCTTGAGGTTTACCGGGTCTTCAAAGGTTCAGGGAGATTGGGGATTGAGGCTTAGGGTTTGGTTTTACGGTTGAGGGTTCAGGGATGTTGTTTGGGTTGAAACGGTTTGAAGGGGTTTAGGATTCGTGGTGTGAGGGGCTTAAGGTTTAAATGGTTGAGGGTTTAAAGATTCATTGAGAGGTTCAGGGTGTGGGAGTTTGGGTTTAGGGGTGTGCGGGCTTGAAGGCTTATAAAGCTGTAGGTTTGCCCTGTCCAAAGCCCCCCCCCTGGAAATTTATCGTCCCCTCGGTGGAGGGGCGCCCTGAATCGAGTTGTCCGCAGTTTCCACAAAAGTGTCGGGATGTGTCGGGCCTGTAGGGTTACAGGGGCACTAAGAGTGTTGTTGGTGTATTTTTTCGGGGCTTCCCCTAAACCCTAAACCCTAAACCCCAAACCCTACACCCTAAAACCCTTAGATATCAGATATCCTGAAGCTCCGAACTTCGAACCTAAGCCCACATTGCTAGGGCCTCCATCGCATCCCACTGCTGGCACGTCGAGGCATCAAAGACGGCCGCGTGGAAGGGCATCTCCATCGCCACGACGGGGAAGGTCTGAGGGCTTTTGTCGGGGGGGCGGGATTTTGGGGTTTCGGGTCTAGGGCTTGGGTTTTACGCTTGGCTTCGGGTGTGTTGCAATGTGTGAAGTGTAGCTGTATGAAACACCATCACCGGCTGCACACTGTCTAAGGCAGCAAGTGACCCCTAACCTAGGTTTAGGGTTTAGGCCCTAAACCCTAAACCCTAAACCCTAAACCCTAATTCTTCGGGGGCGACAGGGATCCCCAGGGCCCCCTTGCAAAAGCGAGCCCCCGCCCCAAGACTCCAGGCAAACCATCAACCCTACACTCCAAACCTTAAACCCTAATTAAACCCTAAACCCTAAACCCTAAACCCCAAATTTTTCCCTACCCAGACCCCTGGGAGGATCCAAACAGCAGTACCCTCGGGTCGTTACATGGTCCCTTTCTCTGGGCCCTTAAAAGAGTACCCCTGATATACCCCTTCTATACCCGATACAAACTAGGGGCCTGTACATCAACCCTTTAACGGAGGTTAGGGACCATATTAAGGGCCCACGTGACTACCCTAAACCCTAAACCCTGAAGCCCTAACACCCTAACCTCTTAACATTCGAACCCTAAACCCTTCAAAGCCGAAGCCTTTAAAGCCTAACCTTCAAAACCGTGAACCTGCAAACCCCAAACCCTTCAAGTTTAAATCCGAAACCTTCAAACCCTAGACCTTAAACCCAGAAAAGCTTCAAAATTAAATCCTAAACCTTCAAACCATAAACCCTAAACCCTAAACCCTAAAACCCGAAGCCCCTGAAGCCCTTGGTTTCGAAGGCTTTTTTGTGCCTCCAGTGGTCGTAGGGCCAGCCCCAGAGCTCTTCCTCCGCTTCTCTTAAAGGCACTTGGGAACACGCAGGGGTTGGGGTCTAGGGTTTAGGGTTTAGGGTTTAGGGCCAAGAATTTAGGGTGTCAAAGCTTTCAGGCAGGGTTGCTTTTAGGGTTTTGGGGAGAGCTAGTGAAAGGGGCTTAGGTGGGTCGGGTCGCAGCAACCTGAAATGTCAACTGTCAGGGTTTCGGATTTGCCTCACCCCATTCCCTCCCACCGTGGACCGAAGCAGGGCAAGCTTGCTTGGGGTACGAAGTTAATACTCGTAAGCCTTCAAGTGCCCGAAACCCAAAACACCTGCAAAGCTGTGCCACGGCGCTGTCCCCAGCAAACGCCTTGATGTTGGCTGGCTCGGGCAGCCTGGTAACGGAGGCGTCAGCATCGCCTGGGCACGCGCCGTCGGCTTCAACCCCTATACGCTCTAACCTTGGGGTCATCTGTTTGAGAGGCACGGGCCATGATCTAAGGACCGTTCCATTTTGAAGTGGCATTTTGGGAAGACCCAAGGCCCTAAATCCTGAACCCCCAACCCCCCTAAACCCTAATCTCTTTTGGTAATGGGGATCCTGCTTAGAATACGGTAGCATGTCGTAAATCGTCGAAGCGCTCTCCAAGACTTTCGGGCTCCATGACTTTCGGGGATACTCCGGTAGATGTGTGGATTGGCGCCCTGAGCTGTGCTCGGTTTACTGCCCTCCCCCCCCGAAAATGAACTCAGAAATCCTCTCACCCCAAACCCTTAAACCTTACATGTTGAAAACCCTGCTCTCGGGGGGTGAAGGGGGGGGGGGGGCCTTGAAGCTTCCGGCAAGGCTCAGAGGCTCCGCCGGCCAGCTCTGGGGTTGGGCACTCCCACGAGATTCTCGGGACCCTAAACCCTAAACCCTAAACCCTAAACCCTAAACCCTAAACCCTAAACCCTAAGCCCTAAACCCTAAACCCTTCAATCCCTAAACAGCGTTCGGCACGGTAGGGATTCTCTGGAGGTACACTGGGGTTGGGGTTTAGTTTAAAATCTAACAACCCCACACCGAGGGTCGGGACAACTGGTTGGTTCTTAGTCGAAAATGAGGGAATGAGGGCCCTCTATATACCCTTTAAGGGACTATATAGGCCCCTCATTCGCTCTTTCCCTACTAAGAACCAGGGGGATAAAGGCCTGGGGTCCAGAAACCTTAGGGTTTCAGGCTTCTTGCTTTAGGGGCCTCTGAACCGTAGAAGTGACAGGCCTGATGCAATCGGCTGTCACATTCTGGGGCTCTACTTCCGAATGCTCCCCTAAACTTCAAGCCTACACCCTAAACCGGGCCAGCGGCGGTGTGTCTTTGTGTGTGTGTGTGTGTGTGTGTGTGTGTGTGTGTGTGTGTGTTTGCTTACTTAAGGTGAAGCCGTGGTCAGTTTGATGGAGGCAGCTGTATTTTGTTAGGGTTTAGGCGCTTAGGGTAGGGCAAAGTGAAATAAGGACTGGCTTTAAAGATCATGCAGGACCTTAGCCCTCAACCCGAAGCCCCCACATCCTAAACCCCCCCCCCTGCCTCCCCAAGCCCTAGACCCTAAACCCTAAACCCTAAACCCTCAACCCTAAACCCTAAACCCTAAACCCTAAACCCTAAACCCTCAACCCTAAACCCTAAACCCTAGCGAGCCCCTGCCGAGGGACCCGTCAGAATGGAGTCCAGCCGAAGGTCGTGCGTGATCAGCTGGGTTCCCAGTGCCACCTGCATGGAGCCTCAGCTTGGGAGGGATGGAACAGAAGTGATAGGGATGATGTTTGGGTTTAGGGTTTAGGGTTTAGGGTTTAGGGTTTAGGGTTTAGGGTTTAGGGTTTAGGGTTTAGGGTTTAGGGTCTAGGGTCTAGGGTCTAGGGTTTAGGGTTGATGCAATTTCTGAGATTACCAGGATTAGCACTGGCAATGCTGCTAGAACTCGCTGGAGGGTTTCTGACTCTAGGGTTTGCCGCAACTCATGACCATCTTCAGGGCCAGACCAAGGCTTGGGACTCCCCCTTAATAAAACCCCCCAAAAAAGCAAAACATAATCTTCCTCGCAAGGGTACTCTAGGGATGATTATCTTACATTTCTTTGGGGGTTCTTAGGTCAATAGTAGATTGCTAAACCCTAAACCCTAAACCCTAAACCCTAAACCCTAACCCCTACTAAAACCCTAAACGCAGTTCAGGTGCCCACCAAGTAGTCCCCTCCAGTGGCATCCTCGACGGCCTCTTTCAGGTCGCGGCCCGTCCAGTCAGGCTGCGTTTCGACCCGGCAGAGCTTCTTGTCCAGGGCATAGACATCCAGCCATGGCATCTTGTCCCTCAACCCTAAACCGTAAACCCTAAACCCCTAATTAACCGCTAACCCCTAAACAGCCCTGAACTTGAAACCCTGAAAGAGGTCTAGTCTGGTGTCTCACATTGTCTAAGCTAGCTCACCTTTTGGGGTTCTGATGGGGCACCCGTAGTAGGACCACGTGTGTAGACAACTGCCCAAGGGGCCCTCTAGTTTCGGGCTTTAGGCTGCGAAACCATACCCGCAAAGCCCTCGGCCTCGATACCCGAAACGTTTAGGGTTTAGGGTTTAGGGTTTAGGGTTCAGGTTTGGGGTCAGGGTTTAGCGTTTAGGGTTTTGGGTTTAACTTCTCTGTTGAAGCTCTGGTGGAGAGAGAGAGAGAGAGAGAGAGAGAGAGAGAGAGAGAGAGAGAGAGAGCCCGGAACGGCGCACGCCATGCAATGTTTTTCATTAAGCTGTTGACACCTTCCGCAACCCCGAAACCCTACATCTTAAAAGCCCAAACTTGAACCCAAAGCCCTAATAAACCCTAAACCCTAAACCCTAGAACCTAAACCCTAAAGCCTCGACCCTAAACCGTGAAGCCCCATACACTTCATCGGCTGCAGGCAGATTTGGGCTGAAGGCTAGAGGGATTTACGTTTAGGGCCCAGGGCTTCTTTTGGGGGTTTTTTAAGGGGGTTTAGAGAATATTTCAAGCTCTTTTTGGTTTTGCGCTAGGGGACTTTAGGATTTTTTGGGGTCCCGAGCATGTCAGCGGGCATTGACCTAAGGAAAGTGACATCCTTCAATTTTCTAAGTCCTAAACCTTGGGATGTTCTCTCTTGTACTAACAGTTCTAATAGGGATTATAGTACCCCCTATATACTATAATCCCGATTTCAGGCCTGTTAGGAAAGGGGGAACATCCCAGCCAACCCCCACACCCTGTGTTGAAGTCAGAAACAAGTTGTAGGTGCCATCGCCCGGGACTCCCTCGCCTCGCTATCTCCGCCACTGGTTGTTCGCCGCTCGTTGTTCCTGGGTAGGGTTTAGGGTTGAGGGTTGAGGGTTTAGGTTTAGGGTTTAGGGTTGAGGCTGAGTACTTGGAGGTTCAGGGCACTTGCAACCCCAATTCTAACTGCATTTATAGGCACCCCTAAAGTCCTCTAAGTAGGTAACAGATAGACTGAGAATGGGTTTTTCAGTACCCATGAACCTCCAAGTAGGGTTGAGGGTTTGAACACTGATCAGCATGGACCCTTTCCTTGCGCAAAGACAAGGAAAGGAGGGGTAGGGTTTGGGGTTTATGGTTCAGGGTTTAGGGTTGTGGAGGACCCTTCGGCAATCTACTCTCAACCCCTTCTGGGCATCGTGCAAGAACATGAGACCCCTTCAAGTAGATACTTGAAAACAGCCACTACACAACAAACTCTAATCCTTATTATAACACCATGGTGCCCGGTAGATGTGGCTTGGGGGAACCCATCGACGGCTCGGGGTTTAGGTGGCAGATTCCGAACTCCCCACCTTCTCATCCTGCTCTACGACTCTGTGGTTGTGCCAGGGTGAGGGAACGATCAGGGACCGCAGGGCTACGGGTATGACACAGGCGCCGATGAAACCGCCAAGTTAGCCAATGTCAGCCCCTGAGAATCCCCTGGACGGTTGCAGCACGAACTGACCCAAATACCTCATGTTACCTTGAACATAAAGGGGGCTGTTAGGGGTCAACGTGCTAAAGTATCTACCCTAAACCCTAAACCCTAAACCCTAAACCCTAAACCCTAAACCCTAAACCCTAAACCCTAAACCCTAAACCCTAAACCCTAAACCCTAAACCCTAAACCCTAAACCCTAAACCCTAAACCCTAAACCCTTGCCTTAAAGGACTGCAGGTCTGACTGATGCACAGCGAGGTTCGGAGAAACAGCAGTGGCGCCCAGCATCAGAGCCATCCCCTGGTGGCTGGGGCTGAGGAAGGGTGTAGGGTCCCGAACCTCCAAGAACAAACCCCCAAACCCTACTAAACCCTAAACCCTAAACCCTAAACCCTAAACCCTAAACCCTAAACCCTAAACCCTAAACCCTAAACCCTAAACCCTAAACCCTAAACCCTAAACCCTAACCCCCCTCGCCTAAGGGGCAAGTTTTCAGGTTGAGGGGCTGGGAAGGGCGTCAAGGGTAGGAGGCCTCAGCCCGAAACCTGAAACCCGAACTGAGGGTTTAGGGTTTAGGGTTTAGGGTCAGCCCGAAACCCTAGGAACACCTGTCTTGGAGTTCCGATGCTATCCATTTGAGTAGTTTGGGGTTTAGAAGGGAGTAACCCCCTTCTTTGGGAGTTTATTCAGGGGGAAGCTTAGAGGCCCCCCCCCCCAAAAGTATATTATGGGCGATAGGCTTGTAGGGTCCAGGGTTCAGGGAGGGAACCTGTCCACATGAGATGGGCCTGGATTTGGGAGGTTTTGGTCCCTAGATGGTGCTACCATGGTCTAGGGATTGCGAATAGACAGCAGTGGTAATACTCAAGTCTTGCCTTTCTTGGTTGTTCAGCTGCGGTGGAGTAGGCTAGCTATAGTTGCCGTGCAAGATGACCCTATTCGGGGCGGCTTATGATCCTGGATGAAGGCGCAGCTCTTCCGAATGAGAAGGGCGCGGGAGCCACGTGTCTGTGTTGATGTTAGGGAGTTTAGGGGTTTAGGGTTTAGGGTGTAGGGTTTAGGGGGGGACTTGGTTGATCACTGCTTCTGCAGAGGATTTGCAGGGTGGGTGCCTGATCCCAAGGGCGACAGAAGGATTGAATATAACGCGTGGGAAACTGAAGATTTCGGGGATGGTACGGGGTTTTCTAGTGAACCGGGAAAGAAGGGGTTTCTTGATGTTTTCGGGCAACACAAGGCTCTGCCTTCATCCGAAAAGAGGAGTTCGGGGGCCCCTGAACCCCTTTCTTCCCTAAACCCCCAAACCCTTTAGAAGAAACCTTTCTAGAAGAAACCTTAAGCCTTTGAGGCAGAGCTCCTGCAAAAAACAAAGCCCCCGCCCCATGTAAGGACCCTGAGAGCAGGAGACTCCATGGTGTCTTAGACTCCAACAATCCCTGAAGAAGGGGTTTAGGGTTTAGGGTTAGGGTTTAGAGTTTAGAGTTTAGAGTTTAGGGGTTAGGGTTTAGGGTTTAGGGTTTAGGGTTTAGAGTTTAGGGTTTAGGGTTTAGGGCTTAGGGCGTAAGGCACCTGCACCCTAAACCCCAACACCAAGCAGCTCATTTCTCTTCTGGGCCGCGAGACTTCCCAGAGCAGGGGTACTCCCGCGCCCCCCCCCCCCCCCCCCCACTTGTATGTAGCCCCGCCGGAGAATGTTTAGGGTTTAGGGTTTAGGGTTCATTTAGAAAGGGTACCCCATTTGCTGGGACTGCAGGGAGGCTTCGCCTCCGGTTTGCAGCAAACACCTCTGGAAAACCTGCAGCAGTGGTGGCTTCGCCACCATAGTCCACAGGCGCGAAATTCTTAGTTTGGGGTGTAATGCAGGGTTTTGGGGGGTATTAGAGTATAATCACAAAGGGACCACAAGGGAATACTATTGGTATTTGTTTTGTCCCCCTATAGTAGGGTTCTAACATCTAGTAGCGGTTTCAGGGTTCGGGGGCTCAGACAAGGCACTTCATGACGTGGCGTTGAAGCTTGGACCGTTTGATCCAGGCAGTTGCTGGTTGGGGTATACAGGGCTAGGGTTTAGGGTTTAGGGTTTAGGGTTTAGGGTTTAGGGTTTAGGGTTTAGGGCTACATGTCCCAGACAGCCCAGGTACGGTGATCGGGGACATGTTGGCGCCAAAGTGCTCTTGTAGTGCCTTGAAAGTCTAAGCTAAACCCGAAAACGGTAAACGCCCCAAACCCTTATTCCTATCAAGCCTGAACCCTAAACCCTAAGCACCTGGGGCCTTTGTGGGTAAGCGACCCACGGATAAGTTCCGATGCAGCTCCCGAGCGATGAACCCATTGGGAGGGTGCTTCTTCAGCAGGTTCGACGGAGCTATAAGGTTTATAGGGGCTCTTAGGGTCTTACAGGGATAGGATTAAAAGGGTTTATGTGGTTTATAGGGGTTATAGGATTAAAAGGGTTTATGTGGTTTATAGGGTTTATAGGGTTGTCTATGCTGATGCTGATGTAAAAACACAGCCGAAGCACAGGGAAATGCACCCGGTTGCTCGTCGCAGCTTGTCAAGTCATGGGGAGCTTCCATACCTCTGCCCACTTAGGAATTCAAGCACCCCCCCCCCCCCCCCTGGAAAAAAAAAAACTCACAATTTTAGCTGTTTCTTAGGAAGTAAAGAGCCCAAAAAACACTTACAACGATTTCCAAGTCTCCCCAAGCTGCCCTTTTTAAGAGGTCGAACTAGGAGGTTCATGGTACTTATTCACTAACTACAAGTGTACTTATAACTGTACTTATAACGGGCTT